ATATGCTTTTTGTGTCCTGATGGAGTCTCTGTTCTTCAGGGTTGACATGGTTTTTCTAAACATAGTAACAAACTTCCTTCTAAGTAGTTACTTGTCTTACCAACTGAGGCTCCATGCAGCCTCTCAGCCCTCTGTCATAAGGGATGCTTCATTTTGCAGTAGATGGTGGTTAATATAGTCCCTCATAACTGGTAAAGAGCAGAGAATTAAGTGTCTGGGAGTGTTCAGCCCCAAAAGCCGGCTTCCAAGGCTCAGGGAACACCAGAAAAGAGGGGATAGGGAGATTGTAAAACCAGAGCTCTGGGGAGGCTGCTGTAAAATAACATCTTCTGGATATAACAGGGGCTGTTGCACTTATGAAATTACAGCAGCTGTGGTTGACTGTATAAGATCTACACTAGATTAAGCCAATTAACATTCCAGCACAGATGTGGGTGGGGACTCTTTTTTTTTTTTAACTTTATCAATTCTTTGTGGATTTCACATTATGCATTCTGATCCTGTTTATCTCCCTGTCATCTGGAATTTGCTCTCTGCCCTTGCAACCCCCCACCAAACAAAACCATATTTAAAAGAAAAACAAAATAAAACAAAGAAACAAAACAAAACAAAAAACGAGAGAGAGAGTCTGGAGGAGTTGGAGGAATGGAGTTGGGAGTTATAGATGATAAAAATACATTGTACCCATGCATGAAATTCGCAAAGAACAAATGAAAAATAGTACATGCTTAAAAAACAGGCAAAACAAAAAAGTATCAACTTGGCCTCCAGGGCTAGAAAATTATCCTCATGCTGTAAGATGTATTTGGGAAGAATAAATGTAAAGTTTATATTTGGGGAAAAATCAGTTTAAAAATGGACAATTAAAGTCCGAGTTTGACAAGATGAGGGTGCTCCTTGATCACGATCTCAGTGAAGTTTAAATGTTTTAACTGGAAGTAGATAATCAGCAGGTAAAGAAACACCATGTGTGATTGAAAGTGGCTGTGTCTCTGTGGTATGGATAAGACGATGGATCTGGGATATGCTCAGTTCCAGGTATATGCTTCAATAGGGATGCTGAAAACTTGCATTGTCCAGAAGGCACAGACACTGGAGTCAGCACTTGAAACCAGGTTATTCAAATGATGACTAAGGGACTGGGCATTGTTTAAGTGACAGGAGAATGACAGAGGCAACCTGATGGCTGTCCTCAGACATGCCACTTGAAAGGTATGTTCATTCAGACAGATGTCAAAGGGTAGCTCAAGGGTTATTATCCCATAACCAAGTTCATTCTAGAGCTTTCTGCTATTGGAAGAGCCTCCTAGAATCTAGAACTTTCTAACCGAAGAAATCTAGCAAAGAAAAGGCTTCTTTAATAGCAGAAAGGGTAAATTCCATTGAGGTCAAGGCCAAAAAATGCTAACATATAATTATCCAGCTCTTATGTTCCCTTTGGGATTATGTAGGAAAAACAGCCACTTAGGCTATTTAACTACCAATTATTCTTTTCAAACCTTGGCATGAGTACAGCATTTTATTTTTTAGACCTGAATTTTTATCTCATTGTGGAAAAAAGAAGAAAACTTGGGGTCAAAATACAGATATAATACCAAAAATGAAGAGGCTAAAGGAACAAAATGAAAAGCTTGGTCCTGAAGTCTGGATCTGCTGTTAGCATTCCCAGAGCCCAAGTGTACAGTCTGTCTTTTTTTTTTTTAATGGGAATTTTGTCAAAATATATATTTTCTTAGTAACATAGTAAGCATTTAATTTCAGAAAATGAAAATGAAAAACAATATCCTTGTTCTGTTGTTAGAAAGGCACATTTCAGAGA